GCTGCCCACACTTCTGGTCCCTGCATGCTTCTGTCTCCCTCCTCCCTCCACACGGGCCTATTTCTTCTATTTCTCTGTCAGGCCAACCTTGCCACTACTTGTCCCTTTGCCTCCTCATCTTTTGTTACCTGGTTCATCACTTGGGTTTCAGCCCAACGCCCTCTTTAGAGGCTTTTGGGACCGCAGATTAAAGATGCACCACATGTCACAATCACCATGGATTCTCACTCATGGAAGAGCATTTCGCACATGGCAGGTGGTCAGTAAATACCTGATAGAGAATAATTAGGTTAAGATAAGCTGAATCCCGTGACTTGCCTGTCTGCTGTTTAAGTCACACATATTGGAGACAATAAAAGTGATGGCTTGAAGATTTACTGCTTCTGATTATTGCTTTATCCACATATACAACTGCCTTCAGGAACATGGTTTGCAATTTGACCACCACAGTACCACCTTTTGCTCCTGTCAGTGAAGATGACCTTGCTGAACACTACCTATCGTCTACAACTTCCATTCTTTCCTTTCTCAATCACCGAAACTCAAACTTTGGGATAACGTATCCATCCAAAACTCATCCATACTCATCTCTTCAGGCTTTTTTACAGCTACAGCAAGTGGCCATGTAACCTACCTCTGGGTGTAGAGTAATATAAATTGGGTGAGGTCTCAGGTAAGTTACTGCTTTACTGATAAAAAAGTACAGACTCAGAGCTTATTAGTCCTTTGTCCTTTGACCTTCCACCCTTCATCCTACATGGAATGTACACACAATGCTGGACATAAAAGAACTGTCCTGTGTAGCAGGTACTGTCAAGTACTCTGTCTGCCCATGACTCCATGCTCCTGACATTCACCACTTCTATGTGCACCACAGGCTTCCTATGGGAAGCTCCTATGATTCTCTGAGGATTTTCACGTTACAAAATCATGCTCAGTCTTTGTAAGGTAGGGTGGAAGTGCCAGGGAGTTAGTGACCCCTGGAATAGCCCTTAATAACAACATAATCTCAAGGGCTCCTTGCCCTTTAGGTGGGATAATTTTGAGGCAGAAGAGATCTCTAGTAGGCCTGGACACTAGTTGTCCATATAATTCATGAATGCATCCTGTACTGGCTGTCTTTTCCCTGTCTGTTTCCCACTTTCCTACCTTTTGGGATCACCTCCAAAATACATTATTTGCACATATGTACTTGTCTTCAGAGCTTTTTTCCAGGGGAAGTCAACCTAACACATCTTTTATTCATTATATTTATTGGTATATTTTAGGTATGCAATGATGAGATTCATTATTGGGAATTTATACCTTTATGTGATGTATCTTTGTTCTTATTTTTCCCCCCATTCCCCTGCCCAACCTTCAACCCCTCCACCCCTCCCAATTTATAAAGACTTTGTTTCAATTGTTTTCCTTTTTAAAATATTTTTTTCTTTCCCTTCTGCTACTCTCCAACTTCCCCTTCCGATCTTTACTTCCTATTTCATATTATTTAATATACATTTTGATTCTCATTTACACTTTCAGTTTCTCATACCAGAGAAACTATTTGGCATTTACATGTGTGCCTTGCTTATTTCACTTAAGAGTGTGGCCTCACTGTGCATCCATTTAGCTATAAATGTCTCTAATTTATCATTATGAGTAGTGTTCCATTTTATAAAAACAAAACAAAACAAAAACCCCCCACATCTTTATCTAGTCACCAGTTAGTGGGCATTTGGGCTGTTTCTGTCAGAGACCCCTGCAGTCAGTCTCTAGTCTCCACCTATCCAGTGTGTGATGCAGGCCTGAGGAAAAAAAATACACTAAGAGGTAGAACTAACAACTAAGAGAAAAAGCAGGGGGCCAGGACAACCAATGCCAGTGCAACCAACAAAGGCACTGGGCAGTCTGAGGCACTGACTTTTATTGGCAGTTAATTTGGGTAAAGGCGACATGTGGTTTCTACAGAAATTAATGTAAACAAGGCTCAGAAAGGACAAGACAGCATTTTTGAATTAGGAGCAGCATAGATAAAATATATGATTGTAATTAGAACACTGTCCTTCTAGTTGTGGGAACAGAGCTTGGGTGTGAGTTATTGTGACTTTGGCATGTAGGCTTTGGCCAGACGCACTCCTATAAGCAAGCCAATTGTGAAGTTAACTCTTCATAGCCTGCTTTTGGCAAATCAACAGTTCTCTGCAGTTTCCAAGATTTAGCTATTATAATCTGTGCCACTATACACTGGTATGCATATATTGCTGTGGTATTATGCTTTTGATTCTTTGGGGAAGATACCCAGCAGGGGAGGACCTGGGTTAAATGGGACCTCTAATCCTAGGTTTTTGAGTACCTCCCTACTGATTTCTGTAATGGTTGCTCCAGTCTACACTCCTACCAACAGTGGAGAAGGGAGCCTAACAATTAATCTTGCCATCATAAGAATCATAAGCCACATGCTAAGAACAGAGAAGTCTACAAGAAGCCAAGTCCTCGATGCCAGTCCTTGAAGCCCTTAATCAGTCTTGGATTGCCTGTCTCTGGCATTCAAGGTTGAAAAAATAAATCTTGTACCATCATCATGTCATCATGATCCTAAGGCATACAGAGCAATGTAATTGAGGTGTGGAGGATTTTTTAGATGAGTATGTAACCAATCCTAAATTGGATACAAGGTTGCTAACACAGATGACCCTGGCTGCATTACTAGTCCCTTACACTGCATGGCCAGGTTACAGCCAACAGTGTTTTCTTACATGTCTAATCCTCCTGTTGATTCTAACAAGTATTATCAATGCCATTTCCCAGAAGCCCAGAGGGGCTGAGTCACAGGTCCATGACTGCAAGGCTAGTAGTGGAGTCAGGACTCTTTAAAGTCCGATAATCTTTTGCCACTGAAAGACAGGGGCTAGATTTTCATTTTCAGGATTCTGTGGCATTTCCCTAAAGAGTCACATCTTCCACCTGGTGCCTTTGTCTTTTTCCTAAGACCTTGTACTTTCTACGCTCACTTCCAGTCACCACTTCCATGCCTGTGAGACTATACACTCAACTTGCTTCTACCGGAGCTCCCTTTCCCAGATGCCAAACATCAAAAACTTTACACACCAATTACAGACCTCCCAAACACATACTAAATCCTCTTATCTCTAGGCCTTTGCTGAAGTTCTGGCCTTTGCCAGGAATGCTTTACTTAAGAAGTGGAAATTGTAGTTTGGGCCCAAGTAGCACAATCTGTTTGTGCAGGCTTGTTGTAGGCAGGATAATCATCTCAGTATGGCTCATAGCAGCAAAAACATACAGATGCTTAGTAAATATGTGTAACGCTGAAGTGGAAAGCCATGGTGGAAGCCCAAGTTGAATTTAAATTTGTTTGTTTAAAAATCATTAACATCAAATCCTGCAACACATAAAAATGAAGTAAACCCTGTAAAAGATTTCAGACAGATGAAATATACGACACTGAACCTTTAACAAATTACAATCAAGTATGACTTTTTTTTCCTAAAAAAAGGAGTTATAATTAAAAAATGGTGACAAATTAAACATGTGAAACACATCAAATAATACTCAATAAACCTTTGTGAAATATGTTGAGAACCCAAGCGCTTTTCTATAAAGCTCAGTGTTTTTAACATTCTTGCTTAGATGAGAAAAGACTGCATTCTCTTACTGGTGACTCAGGAAATACAAGAAACTTGAGCTGTAATTGCTGGTGTGTGGAGACAAGACTAGCACCCATGACTAGCTGGGCTTGATAAAATAAGTGTGTACTACTCCTGTGCCACTCTGGGATCCACCAAAGTCTGATATAGGGTTAAACCACATGCAGGGTATAAGAGGACTAGAATAAGGGGTTCACTGTGGCAGGGGGACTGGAGAAAGCACCATGCAGTGCTTTGACTTCAAAAGAGATGTTCAGTGAGACAAAACAGCAGCCGGGAGGCTTCTCAAAATCATTCTGGGACAGCAACTTTGAAGATATTTGTAACAGGGTAATGGATAGGAAGTACAGATACTCACTGGGCCTGACTTGAGAATCGTGCCATCATAACAGATTCAACTCTGAGGACAGGTGATCAGCACACCACCGACAGACACAGGTCCGGTATCGACTCAGAGGACGCCTGTCTATCTGGTTCTTGCAGGCAGGACTCTATTAAGTTGTTTGTCACTTTTTGGAAATTTATTTCACTATATTTCATAAGGACAATAAGGCTCATTAAATAACAATACGAAATTTACAAATGAGATGTCAAAAGGATTTTAGGTACATTTTGTTAGGTAAAGGTTTTCTTATTTTTAACTGACTAGACATCAATGAGACAAAAAGATAATTACACCACAGTTACTATCAAGACTTTTAGATTGTAGTTGAAGTTCCAAAGGTTAAAGAATTTACAACTGCTAATTATAGATGAAGAGTATTTTATGAGATACAAAAAATATTGTGTGGTTTTATTCCTCTTGAAAACCAGCTGCATGAAATAGTGCCAACTCCTATGAATTTTTCGTTTTTTGAGATAGGGTCTCACTCACCATGTAGCCCAGGCTAGCCTTAGAGTCTTAATCCTCTTGTGTCAGCCTCCCAAGTGCTGGGATTATATGAGTGCTTATAGGCATGGGCCACACTACCTACCACACCTATTAAAATTTTGTCTTCCTTAATGGCACCATAACTAGGAAGATGAAAATCAAACCAGTTACTTTGGCTACCAGTTAGGCCACCATTATGTTTCTAAAATAATTTATGTAGGATACACTGTAGTGGCAGCCTATATTTTATTATATCATATTGTGCAAACTTACAATTTTTTTTCAGTACTTCCTATGTTTTCCGAAAGTTGTTTCTCAGAACTTTGATTTTTAAATCTGTCTTTCTAAACACTAATATCCCTTCTGAAAACAGGTGGGGTAAACCCACTCTCTTTAAAGTAACAAGTTACGTTCTGAGAGGTGATTCTACACTTGCTATATTAGGACAGGATTGGTGTACTATCTGAAGATATGAGGGATATTCAGGAGACTGATCCTACACAAGGGATTTAAAATTTTTAATTTTTCAAGAGAAACACTGTGGAAAGAGAAAGCATATTCTATAATCTAGGATATGTTTAAGAGCCCTTGCTCTAATAGCAAAATGTATGAAAACAATTTTCCTGGAAGAAACACGTCTACAAGCCAAGGCAAGCTTTGGCTAAATGATTGGTAGCTTTTGTTTGGCCCTGGAGGTTTCCATAGAAACAGCCTGAGAGACAGAAAAGGCAGCATTATCATCTTTATCCATAAAGCCATCTGATAAAGCTGCTCATTGATTCATTCATGCTGTCTAGAACAGATGTATCACTTCTGATAAACCTGGACAAAGGGAGGCATGAGTTCCACTAGACACATTGAATTTCCTGTCTTCTTGTTTGAAACCCTAAATTAAAATCCTGATAAAACCTCCTCTGAACATTTCCCTCCGGATCCTCTAGTTCAAGTAATTCTTCAATAACCAGAAACCAAATGAAGAAACATGAAGCATTAAATGCAGTTCCACTGCCAAGTTCTTAAAATTATATGGCACCAAGCTTCCTGCAGCTGAAGAAATTATTCTGAAGAGTATTTACAATTCCATTATATCAGATCTTAGCCAGGCAAGAAATGCCATCCTTAGTGTTTATTATACACAGTTGAACCAGGTGGCATCATCCATCATTTTTCTCCCATTTTACGTCTAGATTATCTCTGTGTGTATTTTAATGTAGTAACACACCAAACACATCTATCTAATCTTGTTTCAGGTAATTATTTCTTGGCACAAAAGCAGCCCTAGTTCAAAATTACCCATCTGAAGTATCCAAAAATAAAAACATAAAAAACAAAATATCCACAAAACAAGCAAGATAAGGAGATGTACAACTTTTAGCACCATACTTAAGACCACAGAGGGAAAGGACGTTGACCGAGGTCTCAAGAGGAATATGCAGTTCTTGGTTTTATCCTAGAATGAGATCTCAAACACAGAACCCACTCGTAGAGTCCAGTACTTTTAAATAGGGAGTGCCTGAGAAATTTTTAACAGACATATCAAAATCCATGATTTATCAGAGACAGACAATTTGACACTGTTCTTAATCTAAAAGCCTTGAAGATATTATTCCTTAGGAACAGACCGCTCACTTTTGGAGGTCAGCTGGGAAAGGACTGCCAGCCTCAATGAACTAAATGATGTCTCATAATGTTCCCCAACAAGGATCAATTCACTCATGGAAAGTAGCTTACTAATGAGCAGTCAGTTCGCCCATATCTGTGTGGCAACACGATCATGTGCTACACTGAAAAGATTCAGTCTAGCATATATAATGGTACAGTCCAGACAGAAGAACATCTGAAAAAATACCCACACTTGTTGTGTACTGTGGCACTGGTGTAGAAATCCAGACCACAGGATAAAGTCTCAGATGGGCCTTTCCATAAAGAAGAGACCAAATGTCTGGGGCAAGGTTCAGAGAAGTGTCGCAGATTTTCATGGTTTAAATGCAACAGGTAGGAAGTTATGGGATTAGAGACTTTAGATTTTGTCAAATGTAAATACCTTATCTTCCTGAGGGGAAAACTGAGGCTTCAAAATAAGTATCACATCTGATCAACAGAAAAACTGACCAGAAGAGAAGCCGCAAGACTCTTAGTTCAGGATTTTCCCATCATGTTTATCTCTTAGGCTCCTTTAAAGCCTAACAAGTTAAGGAAAAGGACTAGGAACTAATGGGGAAACTGCTGCATTTTTACAGAGTTTGGCAATTCATCTTCTGATATGCTAAACATCAAAGGGAAAAATCTCCAGTTATCTTTTGATAAAAATGTTATCTCCTCCATGAAACAGGTTCCTCCTGAGAGCTGCTTGTGCAGGGACTGCATTAGCTCAGAGCTGGCGGTTTTCATAGGCTCCATCTTTGTAGTTAGAGCTGGAGTCTGCAGATCCTGTATCATCAGGAGGGCTGAAATGACTGCTGTCTTGAGAATCTGTATCAATACTTTTGGTCTCTGACTGAGGGTGGACAGAAACCTGAACTGCTATCTCTTGGCCATGCTCATTCAGTGAACCATCATCCGAATCTCCTCCTGGTGAACTGCTCCGCCCCATCTCTGGGTTAATAACGTAGATGCCACCTTGAGCATCCAAGGCAGGTCTGTCTTTAATTCTTTCGCCCATGTCATCAGGGTCATTCACTCGCACAGCCTCAAACATCTCCTCAACAAAGGCCCGACAGTTTAGAATAAGGGGTGGAAGAGGAACGCTTCTTGCCAGTTCTTCAATGTAACGAGCAAACTCCATGGTCTTAAACTGAGTGACTTTAGCAAGCTCCAGAGTCTTGGCTGAAGTGATGATGGGGATGCGTTTTGCAATCTCAAAGGCCTTCTGAAGTTTCTCAGCCCCCTCAGTTCTGAAGAATTCATTGATGGCCTTCTCTGTCTTGCGAAGATGGCTGCTCATCATGCACAGCCGGGTAACATTCAGGATGAGAGTGATTGTAAAGGCAATCAGGCAAACAATCATATAGTAGATACTCATGTCTCCCGAGGTGAAAATAACGCGGAGGGTGACAGAGTAGGAGGTACGAATCGGGGACGTGACAAAACATGTATAGAGCCCACGGTCATCAAAGGTTACGTTGGTGATATTCAGGAAGTTATCAGAAATCAACCATTTTCCACCTGATAATCCAATAAACATGAAAAAATTATAGCATAATATTATTATAAATATTTCAACTATCTTGTCAATATTCCACCTCTTCATAAAGTACTTTAACTCATCAATTAGATCCTGCTGCTTGTTTGAATCATGTGAAAAATGGCAGGCTGTTATGTCCAGAGTCAGAATTTAATTAGCCCAGAACTTAAGAAAGAAATAAAAATTTTCCTTTTGATGTTAAATTGCCATCATTTTCTTTTTATTGCTAGACATAAAAATGCCTTTCAGGGAGGCAGGTATGTCTAAATACTACTTAAATAAATGTTTATATATACTGGCATGATCAAAAATATGGTGAATGTTTAAATTAAATAAATGCATTACAGCAAAAGTCACATTGTAATTAATCCCCTTGAAAAAACTCCCTCTTGCTTCAACTTATGCCATCATGCTTGTCACTATCAGAAACAGTTTACACTTCATATTTATGGCATTTCTGTCAAAAATATTACAGTGCATTCTCACCCACCTTATTCAGCAGGTCTGGCACCATGAGACTTCTGACTTTTGCCCAAAGTCAAAGTGACCATGAAAGGTAAAAGTTAGGAATCAATTCAAGGCTGTGATGACGGCACAAATAAACACACTAATGAAACTACCTCCCAAGCTACTTCCCAAGAATGATGAGATAGGTGTTTTAAAGTAAGGGGGACAATTTTGAGGGGGATTAGCAACAATGTGTCTTTTACTGCAATTAATTTTAAAAGTCATCATATTTTTTTCAACACACAATGTGCATATACACTGTAAGTGCTACTTATATGTTTTCATACACTAGAAAGATATGCCTTAGAAATTTGAAACAATTATTTCTGGGGTAACGGGTTATAAATGATACTTTCTTTTTTTTTTTTAACTGTGCTTGCTCACTTTCCATAATGAATGTATATGATAAGACACAAAAGTGATTTTAAAAAAACTAGCAATTTAACACGTTTTCAATTATTATTATTTTTTTTGGTACTGGGGATCAAACACTGGTCCTTGTGCTTGCGAGGCAGGCCACTGAACCACTGAGCTAAATCCCCGGCCCACCTGTTTTCAATTATTAACTGACTAATCTGACATGTTTTGTGCATGTTAATTTGCTTTGTTAGGAAAGGTGTGCAGATGATATCTTGATTTTCTGCCAAGAGTAACTAAAGCACAAGCCAACATATATGTCTTATAAGTCAGGGTAAATGAACAGCTTGGCAAATGCCTAAACTTCTATTTTAAACCTGAAACATGCTGCTTCTCCTCCACACATGAAGGTATATTCATTCATAGACCAGATATACAAAGTATGAAAGTATATGAGAAAACAAAACATACTGAACACCCATCTTGATTCAACATCCTTCAGTAACATGGCTCTGCTGCACAATTCTCACCTTCATGGTAAATTCCCAGAATATTCCGTACTTTAATTATGAAAGCCACTCAAAGACGGAATGGATGGGCTAACCTGGGCTGTAGGTGTGCATCCCAGTGGTCAGAAGTGGTGTCCCAGGGTAGGCTGTGTGACTACTTGTTAGGTATCTTCTGAGAGCACCGTCTTTCCAAATTCTTTTCATCCTAAGATTCTATGGTTGTGAATTATTTTAGTGGCATATAAATTAGTAAGTATGCTGCCTATTTTTATCATCATCAAAATTTATCTAAATTCTATAGCCGTATTTATTTCTAGGAGCCATCACTTCTCTAATGCAAATGAGGAAGTAACTGTGGCTACGAACATAGCCATTACTGAGTAAGTTTCTGTTCTATGAACCTGAAGCTATGAAAAGGACATCCCTTGAATCCAAGGCATGACGAACTGCATGAACTCCATTAACCAATCACTATATTAAGACCACAATCTAAACTCTGTTGCTCACTTGCTGATAATAGCTCCTGATTTACAAACCTTACACTAGGCTGACATGCTCTTTAAACTCCCCTCATTTGAGATTCATAAAATTTAATACAATTTTTCAGAGCTGCTGCTGAAAGCATCAATGATAGATGTTAGTGGTTTCCAAAGTAAAGGGAAAATAGGAAAATGAAACTGCCATTTCACTTGGTTGGTTCTGTTCTAACCTAAGGCTCTGTTTATGCAGCCAGTCTATAATGATCATACTGAATAATTCAAATCTCAGATGTGTTTGTTCAGTATATCCTAGAGCCCAGAGGAGACTGAAGTCTGGTCTAGTGGGTCCAAATACAAAACCCTTAAATCATATTCAAAATAACACATTCTCAGCACCATTCTAGATATTCTGATTTAATAGATCTGTATTTTTAATAAACTGATTTAAAACACTGTTCTAACAATTCAAACTCAGTTGTCTGCTGAACAGCTATTTAATGTGTAGACGGTTAAAACATTTCACATATATATACTACATTTCTATACTTTCTGGCTTCTTTGCAGTCCTGGGACCTGAACCCAGGGCCTCCTGCATGCTAAGCAAGTGATTTACCATGGACCTTCAGATGAAGCCTGAGGTGTGTATATATATACTTCTGAAGGAAATACTACCTACCTCCATTCTATTCTCCACCCTAATACGAATAACGAATATCCTTTTATTTCAGGTTAAACTATATTTTTAGGAAAAAAGCTAAGGTGGCATTTTCTCAAACTTTAGCTTATGGCGATTTCAGAATTTAATCTCCATCTGTGGCTTTTCATGGATTTATTTTAATAAACATGTTTTAACTCAAGCACTTTCTAACTAAAAAAGATCTTTCTGACAGAATACTGGCTGAGGAACTAGTAGTCTGTATTAAGATGTGTATTAACAGGTCTACCAATAGCAAAATTATATAAAAACCTGTCAAAAAGGAGTCCTTGTGAGCCAGGGATTTAGTTCAGTGGTTCCACCACCTGCCTTGCAAGTGCAAGGCCCCAAGTATGATCCCTGGTACCACAAAAAAAGGAGTCCTTGACTGCAATATCATTATGTTCATATGATTTTTTTAGACTGAGAAATAAAAAGTGCGAGACAGTAACTTTTATTTTCAAGCAAATTAAGGTACAGAATAGAAACAAAGAGCTGGAAAGTCTATGGAACTCCACAGTACCCTTCTAATTCTCAAGAGACTCAAGTTCTATGTAGATTTATACAGTAGGCCTCTAGTATCCATAGGTTCCACAGCCTTGGATTCAACCAACTGCAAAATTAAAATATTTGGGGAAAATATTTGCATCTTCACTGCACATGTACACTTTCCCCTGGTCATTAATACAGTAAAAAACTATTTAAGGAGCATTTACATTGTCTTAGGTATGTTAGTAATCTAGAGATGATTGCAGTACCTGGGAAGATGTACGTATGCTATACCACTTTATTTAAGGGACTTGATCAACTGTGGATTTTGCTATGTGTACACATTCCTGCAACCAATCCCCCAGGATACCAAAGGAGTACCTGACTCATTTTTAAAAAGCATTCTGGATTTCCTCTAACATTTATAGTAATTCATTTAAAAGCATTTTTTTTTTTTTTGCTGTTTTCCTCAGTCTATCCAAAACTGTTAGTGAGGTACTCAGAGGGTCACTGTACTGTACTATTCATTTTTTGCTGTTCCTCAGTCTATCCAAAACTGTTAGTGAGGTACTCAGAGGGTCACTGTACTGTACTATTCACACTGCAGACTAAGTACCCTAGAGTATGTACAGTGCATTGCCTGTACAGCTGTATTTAGCAGTTTCATTTAGGCTAACTTCAATGAAGAAGGAAACCAACTCATCAATAAGAAGTTCACTGTCATCATGTGAACATTTTAAAAATTTATAATTCTTTATTTTTTCTTCTGATTAAATAATTGTAATTACTTTGTTCCTTTTGACAGGGATAAAACACTCCAAGCCTTTCCAAAGTTTTAAATATGCAATCTGCCACCTCTTCTTTGAGATTTCTTGCTAAATATGTCATGAAACCCAGAAGAATAAGAAATGAGTAATCTTGATTAATTATACAGTGACACAATTACCTCTGTCTCTGCCATCCAGGTATTGTCCTTTAGAGTTGTACCAACGGACATCTTCATAGTGACCAACTGTGAGAAGACATTCAATGGAAACGTTGGCTCCCTCTCTGGCTATGACGACATCATCGGCTGAGTGGGAACCGGCTGAGGTGGACCAGGAGCTATGATTTGCTTCTAGTGGGGTAACTAGGGTGAAGTCCACATCTTCCAAAACAGAAGCTGCCGGCACAGTAACAATCACCATTAAAGCGAAGAAGCAACAATGTGGCTTCATGGGAAAAATAAAAATCTTGTTTAGCCTTAGAAAACTTGCTGTAACAAGAGCACTGTGGGTGATTTATTGTTTGGTGGAGAAGTTTTCCAAAAGCGTGGAAGATCCAAGTGTATTTTGAAGTCTTCTCAATTAAAAAGTGTGAGTGGATACCAATCTAAAAGAAAGCCAAATATAAAATTTAATCAACTGAGACTCACAGTGGGGTAAAACTCTGTATGTAACAGAAACGAAGAGATGAGAAAGTGATTAAAATAATTGGTGCTGACATCAGGGAGTAATTAGGGACAGCACCTAAAAATGTCACAAAGAGATGGTAGAAAAAGCACTGCATCAGGAAAGAGCAGACTTAATTCTGGTCGTAGCACGCTGCTAACCAGCTGTACGACCTTGGCAAATAGCATTCTCTCTGGGATTCTCCTTTCTCATCTGTCAAATGAGGAACTAGATGAGAAAATCTCTAAGGACTTTCCTAGTTCTGAAATGCTATCATCCTATTTCACTCTGACAAATTCTATACAACAGGGAGCCAATGAAGGCTAAAATATTTAGCTTAATGATCTTTTATTTCAACCTGCAATGTTACCATCTGTTGTTACATCAATAATGTAAATCAAATGGTATATCATAATCATGAAAGTAAAAATTTATATAATTCAAGTACACATATTAAAAATAAACAATACAGGGATATTTGAGGTAATTTTTTAGTCTTAATATTAGAAAGAAAATTACACTAAAGTAGAGATATTGGCTTCTGAGGCTGTAGAACCTCCCTCTTGGGAAAGTATTAGATGAAATAATTTTTCTTTAATTGTTTCTTCAATATTGAGCCAAAATACAATATATTTAAAAATTTGTAAGAGTGCCAAATTTCTAGCTCAAAGTATATAGTAAAATTAGCTAAGGGGAAAACTGGCATCTTAAGGGTGTATCTAGTAGAAATGCATAAACTACAGGGAAACATAAAACTACAGGGAAAGATTACCGGAAACATTTTAAAGAAGAACAAAATACCATGAATAAAAAAGGCAAAATAAAAGTCTAAAAAGTCTGTTTATGATGAAGGCTGTTTGATCATAGAACATAAAAAGCAACAGATCATTGTACTTTGCCATTAAACTGAAAATCTGAATTATAAGAAGTTGTAAATGTATATTTTCATTAGCCTTTCAAAGGATGGGCAAATGATACCAAGTAGTCTTCTAAATCCTTAAAGTTTAAAAATGGACTACAGCAAAACCCAAATTTTAGAGTTTGGCTTTACATGACAGAATGAACACATATTTATTTATATTTCGTCCTAAAACTCAACTAAAATGATACTGAAGGAAACAAAGACGTGGACATTAAGAAGAGGTCTGATAAATGATTTAGTCTAACCTATAAACTTCATGGTGACTTGTTCTTTACGGTTATGCTGGAAGTTAGTTTGAAAAACCAACTGATAAATAATTTACTCTAATCTACAAACTTCACGGTGACTTGTTAAGATTATGCTGGAAGTTAGGTGGAAAAATGCAAATTAGAACCTGATCTCTCTTTTGCAGTAAACAAAAAACACAAGAAGTAACATATACTGCCTGAAAGGCATGAATCAGGTACTGCGCTAGGGCTGAAATAAAGGCTCCCAAATTCTTTTTCACTACAGACTGGACATGATTTTGTCCCTTACTTCAGAATAGTGTTTCTCACTATTAATAGGCTATGTGAGTGTGCGGGATAGCACACCCTAGGGCTCTGACAAGGAGTTCCTAGGCTTCAATCACACAGTATTTTTCAAACTTCCTTCATTCCTTCTACAGTCATATATTTCCTTTTCTGCTATAGCTAGGAATTGAATTGTTACCATTCATGCTTTTCCTTTAAATCAAGTCATTTTATTCTCATCTATTTCATGTGGAACGAAACTCTAGATCATTTCTGTGGTCAAAAGTAACTAACTGTACACTTAAGTACAATGAAAACAAAACAGTGCTAGTAACTTCTAGAGATAACTTGCTAAGGCTCTGAGCTGGAGGTCTGCTCTTTTTCTGGAGGAAAATGTCAAAAACTAACACAATGTAAGGCTCTCCATGAATTTAGTTTATTCTAATACTAATACTATGTCACTTCTACCCTGCCATCTCCTTCCTCCCTTCCTCTTCCTACCACTGAGTTTTAGACTAGGTATATATTTCCCTCTCCTCATCAGTACCTACTGAGCACCTACTATGTCCCAACCTACTGTCCTCCTGACACCACTTGTGTCTTCATAGAACTCATTCTGGCTAGTGATTCAGAAGCTAAATATACACAAAAGATGCTCAGGGGTACAAAGGGAAATGTCGGATGCCACAGGAGGACATAGCATGGAGCAAAGCCTACTACAGAAAAGGTCTCTGAGAAAGGTGTGCAGCAGGATAAACAGAAATCAGGAACAGAAGGGCTCTAGGCAGAGTGCTGGGGCACAGGGAAAAAGCAGAGCTCACTGGTCAGGGGACACTTGGGGAAACACCTCCAAGCTGGAGTAGTGACAAGGGGGTCTCATTCACCAGATTTGATTCCTGATTCCGAAGGGAAACAGGCTGGGCTAAGGGCAAAACCAGAGACGGATTTGGGGAACTGTAGCGACTGGGACAAAGAAGATAACCTTCTCCGAGATGAAAACATCAGAGAACTGAGCGGCTCTGAAGAGTACTATCTCACTTGTAGGGGCAGTCATGACCCCAGGAAGAAGACAGCTTCTCTAGAAGATACTGGAGGTAGACATTCTCCTTGCAGTGAGATTCATGGGCATCTAGGAAATAAGCAGCCTCCAAGAGAGGGTCCTGGGCAAGCACATCCTCACAAAGAGAAGGACTGGCACAGCATTACTGCCGCCTGATGCGTTTCCAAGCTTCCTTTCACAGCCAGGCTCTTTCTCCACTTGTCTGGACCCGGCAGGCTTCTCCCTGATTCCGGATTACCACTACGTGCAGCACCCACCGGCTCTGGCATGGGCTGCTCTGTAGTGCTCAGCAGCCTACCCCATCTGGTTGAGGAGCCCTTTTACCAGAAACCATGTTTGTGATTGCTATGTGTCATAAATAGTATATTACCCAGTAAATGTTTACTGATAAAGACACTTTATATTTGATATAATAGGTAATGAATCTACACTAACTGAATAGCTATGAAGTATCTAATCAAAACGACATGTTTACTAGTACCTATTTTATTTTCTGAGACAAAAACAACATTAACAATCTCCAAAGACCTTTCAGGTATCTACATAAAGACATTCTTCAAACTGTCAACCCTTAAAGTCCTCATTTATCATTGTATCCTAGAAGATAATATTGAGAATATAAGTTCACCAAGTACAGTTTCAAAACCAGGCTGAGGGTCACAATTATCTAGAGAGCTCACTAATACACATACTCCTGGGTCCCATCCATGCCCTACTAAGAACTTCTGGGCCTGGTCTTTAGAATTTAGGGTTTGTAATGAGCTCTCCAGGTAATTCTGGGCAGTGGGTCGGTGCTCTATCATATAGAGGCCACCAGTACAGATCCTCATTTCTTCTATAAGAATCCTGGCTACTGGTGCTCTAGACCGAACACTTTGGCTTCAGTAAGACCTAATCAGTCACATACCTTTCTGTTTTATTTATTTATTCATTTTTTGGGCAAGGCAGGCGTGATGCCACTGAGCTAAATCCCTGGCCCTAGTCACATTTCATTCTGGATTTGGATTACTCCGCAAAAGTGTAACAAAGTTTCTAAGCAAGATGCAGTAGTACTTCAGTTTAGAGTACAGGCTCTGGAGACAGATTTCCTGGATTTGAATCCTGGGGCTCTGACTCTTGACTAGCCCTAGAAGTTTTATAAACTTAATTTCCTGTGCCTTTGTCTCCTTATTTTTAAAGTGGGAAAATTTATAGTACTTACTCACCTAGGACATCGGGAAATCTTATGACAGTACGTGTAAACTGTGCTTATTAATAGTAATCACTGAATATGCTGGTATTGTTGAAAGTTCTTTCAGATATTGATACCTGTGTATTACACCATTTTACAGCACTTTTACTCAGAACACTATGGAAACACTTAAAAATCTTGTATTTCAGGGCACCATTTTATGATTTCAATCTCCAATTTTTTTTTCTCACTGCAAATATTTTGCAACAGTATGGATCAAACAGCCAGTCTAAACTGAGCTTGTGTCCCAGTCATGATCTTACATTGTTTTATGTATCCTGAGTTCTAGGTAGAGAACATTCTTTGTGATCTTCTCAGTGTAAGGCTCCCTGATTTGAGTCCTGCCTGTATCTTCTTGGACTCAAGAAGAGGCCAATCTACTAGCTAACCAAATTAATCAGAATCCGATGTTCCTGACACTCAGAACTAAGACATTTGTGGTTAAGGCCATTCTAGGGAGAAAGGGCATAGAGGGGCTTAGGGTGTCAGTTTTGGGATACATGTAAGAAGCTTAGAGAAAGGACGACAGGGATAGTGGAGGAGGAGAGTGGTAAAAGGAAAGAATGCGGGGAAGGGAGGAGAACAAAAAACAGACAGACACATGTTACTCTGGCTTCTGACATAATTTTTTAGCTCCAAAGACTCATTTTTTTTTTAAAGAAGTAAACATCTTTAATTTTATTCAAAGTTAGAACACAGAAATGAACACTGAATATGCAAACAAGAAAGCAAATGGGGAAATAGTTAAGCAGGAGAAAGATAAAGCTCAACAAAAGTAACTCAACTGTGACTCTGCCCACGAAGCACTCCTCACCTTCCCTCTCCAGCTCTTCTCCTTTCACACTGGGTGTGGCAAGCAAACCACACTTGGGGCCATATTTGCAGCCCCCGTTCTAAACAGACCCAGCCGTGTGCCTCTCCTAGAAGTTCACAGACATTTACAAGATTGGATCTAGAAAAACACTACGAATACCCTGCGCTGCTCCTTAGTCAAGCTGGAGGAAGGAGCTTGATACATTGATTTTATGCCAGGAACGAAACAGGTCCTCGTGTGGGCACCTCACACATGGGTCTTCTGAGCACTCAGAACAGCTAATGGGAGTGACTGAGAGGCACAATGCATTCGTAGATAAGATCAGAGGAGGAGAACACTGGCAAAGGCATGTATCCAAAGAGACAGAAGCAGGAGACCAAGGGAAGAAATTATCCTGGGATC